CGGACCCAACAGGCGTATACGTTATGTTCAATGCTCCCAAACAACAAACAGCTCTGCTGAGCAGCTATCGTATAAATCTTATCTTGAGCAATTGCACAATCATAAAAAAAACGCACAAATATGCAAATAGTATGATATTCTATGGGGAGGCCAGAGCTCCCCTAGCTCCCCTCTCCGACGGCTCAGCTCCGGCTAATGGGGCGCGTGCTAGACCCGCTGCCAGCAATTGTAAAAGATATCCGTTCAAACAAGATAATGTTCGCATGATACATACGTTTCTTCCATAAATCACTTGCTGAATTCTATTTAAAAGAATCGAGAAATGACACAATGTCGCCAGAGCGCCAATAAAAATGAATCAAAAATTATCAAATAAATAACGAGCGCTCGCCGTCGAATTCATAAATAACAAAAACAAAAATATAACAAAAAAAAAATAGAAAACAAGCTGACAGAAAATATTAAGAAAATGCAGAAGAGCTGGCAAGTTGTTCGTTTTTCTTTTTGGAAAAACAGCGTTAAATATTGGAGAACAACATGAAAAACTTCCGTTCACTGTCGCAGTCGCTGCCGAATGTGGGTCAAGCAGCGAGAGAAAGAAGGAGAGCCAAAGAGTGAGAGAGCGAGCGAGAAGGAGAGCGCGACACTGCCAAAATAAAATGTCTTTCAGCGCACGACGACAACGTTCCAAATTCATATTTTGAAGAGCTAAAAAATACAGCGAAAAAAAAAAACAGCAAAAGAAAACACGTCACATTGCACATTTCATTAATTTTTGGCTTAAGTGAAATCATTGGGAATAACCCCAAGAGCCGAGAACAATGATGAATCCGTGATGCTTTGCTGTCGGTAAGCGTATGCAAATTGCATGCAATTTGGACGACAGATGGCGCCAGGCAGCGTGTCGCATGCAATTTGCTTATTAATTCAATAAAATCTTAATAAACGTAACGTTCCCAGACAAACCCGCCTAACGTAAACGCCCCCCCCCCCCTCCCTCTCTCTCTCTCTCTCTGCTGGCAACGGACCATTGCTAAAACCACATGTTGTCGCCGCTCTCCCTCACCCATTCTCTTCCTCTCTCTCTCTCGCTGCACTCTTCCGCTGTGCAGTTCTCCGTTCTCGGGCGTTTTTGATGGATTTGCATGAATCATTGAGGCGTCACGCTCGAAGGAAAAGCGCCCAGAAATGAATTGCAAAAAAACCGAGCGAAATTTATTATATTTCATATAGTTTGAAAAGTTATTTTAATGCGAGCACATCGCCTCCATCTCCTGTGCTAAAATCGGCGACAGGCAGCAGCCAAAACCGACAACGACGACGACGACGACGACGACGACACTTTTCCTGCCATTGCTTTTGGCAGCGTTTCCTCTCTCCGTTTATTTTCTAGTTGTCGCAGTTGTTATGCCAGACTTTTCCGGAAGCGCGGCGCGACAGCAGCTGCGGCTTTGACGTAGTGTTGACGCACACACGACCCAAAGCAGCCCAACAGAATAACCAACTACAACAACAACAACCATGACAACAGCAACATCTTCATAAGGGGCCAATGAGCTCTGGCTGCTAAACGTTTCTAAAAAATAACTGAGTGTATATCAAATTTCAGGGCCTCTCTCTGCAATTCTCTTGCAAGATTTAACCTCTAGGTAGAATTGCAAACGAAAAAGTATATCAACTTGGCAGCAATCAAAGGAAATGATTGTCGCTTATAATTCTCAACGAAGCATCAGCTTGATGCATTATAAATACATTTGTATTTTCGCTTGTAATTCTCAAAGAGTTTAGGCAACAGCTTGATACCTAATGGGGGAGGCATGTTAATATATTTGTAATTTCGCTTGTAATTCTCAAAGAGTTGAGCCATCAGCTTGATGTAGGGGTTACCTTAATGCATGATAAATATATTTGTAATTTCGCTTGTAATTCTCAAAGAGTTTAGGCAACAGCTTGACCATAGTGAATACCCTAATTGAAGGAGACATGATAAATATAATTGTTTTCTGATAAAAAAGAGTTCTTTCACTTTGCAATAGATTGCCATACACATTGGATTTCCCCCCATTTATCATACCACACAAAGCTCCAAGCGCTCTGATAATCATCTTTTAAGCGCATAATTAAGTCATAATAAGTAAGAGTTGAAGCGAACTGAAATGATATGCCAAAAGCAACAACAAATCAACAACAAATGACAAAAAATATTAATAAATAATAATGAAGAGGAACGAATAAAATGTTCATCTTATTATTATGCCTCGAATTTCATTGTGAATCAAAGCAAAAACTTGAAAAGGCTTCGACCGGCGCGCAACTGCGTGCTGAATTTGGGGCTCTCGCAGTCCACGAAGTGTGGGGCAGGGGGGGGACAGCACCCCCCTACAGCCCGTTCGCTTTGGGGCTTTGGGGCATGACAATTGTCAACTTGTTTGCGTGCTGCCTTCAATTCTTAATCGCCTTCTGTCCATAGCCACTTGTGAGTTGCCGTTTTATTATTTCTTCTCTCTCTCACTCTGTCTTTTTTTTTTCATTATATATTTTATTTTATTTGTTATGGAGCTCCTTCACGGAGCGCGGAGAGGAAGAGGAGAGAGAAGGCAGCTGGAACAGAAGCGGGCATCGCCAACAATTTGGGAGCGTGAGAAAGTGACGCGCACAATTAAAATGCTGTTTTATGGGCCGTCGCATTGGCCAAAGAGAACATAAATTATAAACAATAAATTATCTTTAAATATGTAACAATATTTTTTTTTTATAGTATAAATATCGCCACATACATTTTCCTTTCGCGGCCGGGCCACGCGAGAGACGCATAAATTAACATTCGGTTAGCATTAAATCAAAAATTCGTATATATAAATAGCGTCGCGGGGATTTAAACACATCTATGCGCTAAATATACAGACGATTTTTTAATTATCTCATTATTATTATTATTCATTTGGCTTTCAATTCGCTGGAAAAATCGCGTGCGTAATGCCATTGCATAATCAGGCGAAAATTCACATGCAATTCTTAACTGCATTTCCCCCCCCAACTCGCCCACCCACAACCCCGCCCACTCGTTATCGAAAATAGAAAATGTTGTAGTTGGAAAATCGCAAATAGAAAATAATTTAGAATCGGCCAATTTGTCTCTCAAGTTGTCGCAGATGATTCATTCATTCACGCAATTCGCAATTATCATGTGATGAACAACAACACTCCCGCCCCCGCCCCCAATGCCCCCCTCCCTCCCTTCGACACGCCCACTGCGAGACACGTGATATGCCGGCTAATTTAAGTAAATCGAACAGCTGCCCAAATTGTGGGCGTGGCCGCGGCACACTCGCATCCATTTCATTGCCAAACACTCACGACTCACTCATGACTCAGAGAAAGCCACGGCGCAGGAGACTTTTTGGCAACAGCCCGCAAATGATTGGCCAATGTGTAATTGGCCGTCTGCAAAATGCGTTAATTAGGCAACTTAAATATAGTTCGAATGCTAAACTTAACAAAATTGACAAAATGTTTGCCTTAAGCCCCGCACGAGAAACGACTTCATTTTTCAATTGTTGGGTAAAATTGCAAAAATATAAATAAATATATGGTTTATTTTGGAATAATAAAAATATTTTTAACAAGAGGTTCTAGTCGGGAGCTCCCGACTAGGGGATAACCTTAACCCTCTTCTTCCGACAGGCGATAGGTATAAATTGGAAAATACTTGATATATATATACTATTCTAGAAGCTACATGTCAAGTTTGGTGAGTCTGGCTCATATTAGGATAAACAGGATTTCGATATCGATTTTTATCGATTACTTGGAAACGGGGCAAGTTATCGAATATCGGAAACAAACTCGATCTGCGCCGGGACTAGTAGGACCTACGGCTAAAATTTCAGCTCTAAAAGTTTCCAGCTCTTATAGGTTCTGAGATCCTTGCGTTCATACATACGGACAGACGGACGGACAGACAGACTGACGGACATGGCTAGATCGACTCGGCTATTAATGCTGATCAAGAATATGGGGTCGCCGATGCTTCCTTCTGCCTGTTACATACATTTGCACAAATACATTATACCCTTTTTAACCATTTTTAATGGGTTCAGGGTATAAAAATATATACACCTTATTCTGATTTCTTAAGGACCCTTTCGGATCGATTATTGATTGGCATTCAAAAATTATCAAATTCAAAATTTTGACAAAATTCTTGCCAAAATTTCCAAACCAAATTTCCAATTTAGAATATACGGCTTTGATTTATTTGCCCGGTTTTGAACCGGTTCGCATTCTATTTGTAAAGCTGGGTGTGGCGATCTTTCCATTACTAAAATCTTTAATAAGTAAAAAATTAAAAACCATTTTGTTTTAATTTATATTTTTCCGATATATTTTACACGTCTTCGCTTCTTGACGTGGAAACGTCGAAACTGAAACTTTCATAATTTTGTTTTTTACGTATGCTTTGATTTAAAATTGTAAAGCACACTTTCTAAAGTAATTACTGTCTGTTGTCAGCTGCTATGGAAAAAACCTATAAATATTTCATCAGAATTTGTTAAAGTTTTTACAAAATCGAACAGTTTTCTAGAAATAGTCGCCATCTATGCGATGGGTCCTTGAAAATCAGGTCATGTCATATGCCAGTTTTACGATCGCTGCAAAAGCAGAGTCCATAAACAACTTGCGATTAACAATTTAACAATTTTGAGCAGACGTGACGCCTATAAAATACAAATAAAAAACACAAGAAATAAACTTAAAATTTCAATAATTTCTAGTGCGATTTTTGTTGTTGTCTTTGTTGTTGTTTATATGGCGCCGAGGCACAAACGATTTTCACATTTCGCATAAACAATGAAGCATGCCCAAATTAATTAGAATTTAAGGCAAAGTCTGCACATTATGTAGATATATTTACGTATATGTATGTATATTATTGGAAAATTCGGAGACTAATGCTAAAGCTTGTTGCTTTTTGCTTGCTGTTGTTGTTGTTTTTACAGCACAGAACGCAACGATTACATCGATAACATCCGTGCCGAGCAACGGGACGATGGCCAACGGCGAGAAGCTGCGCATCATCTGCAAGGTGGAGGGCAGGCCGCCCCCAAAGGTGACCTGGTTCAAGGACGACAAGTCTATAAATCGCAAACGCAATGTTTACCAATTCAAGCATCACAAGTGAGCAAAGCACCCAAAGAGAATTCCCCAATTGCATTGATCTAATATAACATTCTCTCTCTCTCTCTCTCTCTCTCTCTCTCGCTCTCGCTCTGCAGAAGACGCGCCGAGCTGATCGTGCGCTCCTTTAACAGTTCCTCCGATGCGGGCAAATACGAGTGTCGTGCCAAGAATAAAGTCAGCAGCAGCATCAAGAAGCGCGGCATCATGATCAATGCCTATCCAGGTAAGGCCTTCAAGATTATACAACCCCATCCCCATCCCCTCTCACTCTCCCTCTCTCCCGCTCTCTCTCTCTCTCTCTATCTGTCTATAACTGTGTCTCACTTTGATGTGCGCCTGTCAAGCGGCCATGTTGAGAGCTCGCTCCAATTCATTTCTAATTTATGGCCACATTTGAAGGCGACTATCTAACCCAGATGCATATGTATCTATATCTTTAGAGCATACATATTTATTGTATATTATAATTATGAATTAATTTCGTGTTTTTCCTTTTGCTTTTATTATCATGTCTTACAGTTCCGCTGAGGCCGGATCCGGGCAGCGCGGGCTATCCATGTGTGGTGAACTTTTGCTTTCACGGCGGCACCTGCATGTTGTTACCGGATCTGCCTACATATTATTGCAAGTAAGTTGATTTCGAAACCGGGCAAAGGATTGCGCTAGACGAAAAAAATGTATTTTAGTCAGGATTGTGGCATTGAAATGTATTTTGGTCATGAATACAGCTGCGCCTGATGCCTCTTCAAGTCGAACCCAATGTCAAGTGGCTGCGCCGCGATAAAACGTGTGACAGCTGATAAAGTCAGAGAAATCCCGAAAGACAAACCTCCCCCCCAAACAAAATAACCAACTAGAGTGAGCCGAGCACTTGAGAAACAGTCGAGAAACTGTCGAGAAACTGTTCGATTTTGGCATCGCATTACACGACCGAGTGAAATTCCCAATTGTAGGATTTCAGAACTCCAACGAACTCGCACTCGCACTCGCACTCACACTCGCACTCAAACATATACACTCACAGCAATGTGAATAATGTCTTTCGGCGCCTCGTTTCATACATTATCCACGTACTGTGCGTGTGTGTATGTGTGTGTGCAAGACGCATATATCGACTCGTGTATGTAAACCAATCCAATTTCCATCCATTGGCAGCCCCCAAAAAAGCGCATTGTACTTGTTTTTATCTTCGCGCGTTTTGTTTTTCTTCTTATTCCTATTTTGTCTGTGAAAAACCATTTTCATTTTCGATTTGAGTTCTTTGCTGATGTGGTTTGCAAAAAAATCAAAAAAATATAATAATAATAATGAGAGACAAATGAAAAAAATAAGAAAAAAATTGTTAATTAAATGTTGGGATCGGCTATTTTCCTCTTCTTGCTGTTTATACTCAAGTATTCGGTTTTGCGCGTGCGAGGGAAATGCTGGAACACGGTTCATGGCCAGCTAAATGTGCTGTATACTCAATTAGCCGAAGATCCGAAGTGTTTGCATCGCATTAAAATACATTCAAATACAATATTTACTTATCTCTATCTTTATCTTTTCGAAATTTCAGTTGCCCGGAAGGATTCAATGGCCAGCGCTGCGAGTTTTCCGGCCCAGACAGTACGTACAGCAATAATCCCGAATGTGGCAACAAGTTTTATGGAGGGTATTACTGCTAAAATAGGCACTTCTATAGCATCGATTGTTTTAGATCGAGTTACGCGATACCGTTACACGAAATCGATATGAATATCCAAAACAAAAACAAAAATCAGAATCGATCTGCACACAAAAAAATATATAAATCAAATACAAATCAATTAACCAAAATCAAAAACTTTCAATAAACAGAATGAACATAAGTAGTATATCTGACAATAAATCAACATACATAAATATTAGAACGTCAAATAAACCAAATATAGTTGATAGCAATACACACACACACACACACAACCACACACACACATACACACACACACACACGCATAGTACAAATACAGTATACCGGCTACTCAGTAGCAACTGAAGCATGAAAATCGCACGTAATAAACGATATATGACCAAGCCTAAGATTCAGAAAATCCACCCCCCCCCTCCCCCCCACTCGTTCTCCTCCACAGCCGCCTTCATGATTACTTGAATTTTATTAGAAAACACATTCCAAAAAGCAACAAAGCAAAGTCTTAAATCTAACTAACAACAACAAGATTATACTATTTTATTACGCTACATACGTATATATAAACAAAAAAAATAAATAAACTAAAATGCATAAAAATTATCAAAAAAGAAATTATGATAATGCGAATAAAAACAAATGGTGCTATAGAAGGTTTATTTTAAATAGTTACTACATAGGAAAAACTATATTAATTAAAACAACAAATTCTCTATAAAGTAAATGTTAAAAAAAAAAACAAAAACAAATTTTGATTTTCCATTTTCACGAAAAACAAAACAAAATTAAGAATGCAACTCACCGACTCGAACAGAACAGAATACCTACCAAATACTGAATAACTTGTCGAACCATTCAATTGGCGAAGCCCTCACTCATATGGATTACGCTCTACCTATAACCGTAACGATTACGATAACGATTACGTTAGCGATAACGATAACGATAACAATAACAGTAACAGTAACAATAACAGTAAACAGAGGCTCTCATAAGTTAGATATTCTTTGCAACATATGGCAACCCCATCAGCAAAATAGCTGTCGCCAAAGTACAGTCACCACAACAAAAGCACTGACCACAAACCGAAATTTTGTTTTGTTTTCGAAAACATTTTTTTTTTTTGTAGTTTGCAATAATCAAAAAGAAAACAACAACAACAACAAATAAAAACAAATACAAACGATGTAACAACAACATGAATAATAATACTTCATTCAATAACTATAATTATTTCTTGCAATTAATTTAGTTATTTAGCAATTCGTACATACATTTTATTATAGTTTCTTGTTAAACTACTATGAAACATTATTAACACTTTGGCTGTAGATTTTGACAAACCAAAACACCAAGCCAAACAAATCGAAACAAACTAAAATTCAAAACAATTGCATACGCATACTTATTATTTATCTGGTGGTTGTTTATCAATAGTTTGACTAATCTTTTGCGTCTCCCCCACATCTGTTTACTCTCAATTGGTTAACTCTGTTCCACTATTTTACTCCTACTATTTTTTTATTATTCATTTTTTTTTTCAACGCAAAAGATCATAAGGCTGAGCTGGCGTACAGTTTCCAAAACGGAAGTTCAGCTTTTGAAAATCATGCATGAACAACTGCTGGTTCCCCAGGGAATCTGTTTTGAGCGCTCCCCAATAACTAGTTCATTTTTGTAACTTTTTGCTTGTAATTCCCTTTTGGAAATGGTATTAGGGCAGCTAGTTATCGAAAAAAACAAAAACAAATAAAAAAAAAAAATTTTTAACTAAAATAAGAGAAAAGAAAACCAATTAATTTTAATTTTTATTTATGATTTAATCTCTTCACAGATATTTTGTTGCAATCTACGGCCAAATACATACCTTAAATAATGATTATCTTAATGCATAGAATTTTTATTTAAACAAAAACAAAAAACAAATAATAAATAAAACGCAATCAAAAGTACTCCCTGCACTCCAACGCCGACAAATGTAATTTTTTAGTATTATGTTTAAAAAATTCTACAATTTGTTGCACCACACAAAAAAAAAAAAAACTAAAAAAAACAGAAACAAAATTTTCGCAACGCTCACGCTAAGCCAATTGTGGGCGTTGTTCCAAATTTTTTGCAACTACAAAAAAAAAAATTAATAATATTATTAATAAATGATAATAATGAAAACAAAATACATTAACCAGCTGGCAGACTCACAATTCACGTTGTTTTGGCATTTGTGCACGGTGACAGAATTTTATCTATGAAAATTGAATCAAAATCTGAACTTTCTATTGTACTTCGTGTTGCGAGAGAAAAATAAAAAATAAAAAATTTAAAACCCACCCAAAAAATAAGAGAAAGATAAGAAATGATACCGATTGACCCTGACACTGACACTGTTGCGCTTTTGTTGTTGTACCATAGACATACATACATACATACATATAGAGAATATAAAGAACGAAAGCTAACGTAGCTAAGAACTTGTAATAAACCATGTATATATACATACATATATATAGATATATATATGTATATATATATATATATACATATTACATATATAAACATTATGATTCACGATAAGTTTTGTGTACATTTCAACTAAGTTATAAAAGAGCTTAACCATAATTTATTTTGTATTTTATGAATGATTAATTTAATTTTTATGCTAAGAACACACACATACAGCTACTTAATTTCGAAATACTATTTTATTTCCCATTTATGTTTTTTTTTCTTAAACTAGTATTTGTAACTAAAGTGTATGGGAAATGCAAACTTTATTTTTATGTATATGTTGACAACAGTTTGTACTTATCGTAGGCGAAGAGATTATTCTTAGTTAAGTTAAGTCAAAATTTTTAATTTAATTATTGAAAGATTTATACCAAAAATACTATGTAAAGCTTAATTTTAATTGAAAAACAAAAACGATGCGTAAGAAAAAATTTCATTAAAAATTTGCAAATACTTCACATTTTACACATTTTTTGCCTTTAATTATTAGTTAATTTTTTTTTAAGTGCGCTCATGCTCTTTTTAATTATTTATAGCTAAACAATTGAAACAATTTTGAGAAAAGAAATGAAAAACAAAACATTTTTGTTTGATTTTCCTAATTTGCAGTTAAGTTTCTTTAATCGAAACGTGAAATCTTCCGGCTGATTGAGCCCCAACTTAGCAGCTGTGTGTAATTATGAATCTTAGGTTACAAGGCTTCTCTGAAAATAAAATAATTTGAAGCCTTGCTAAAAGAATGTTTGTTTGGTTCTTCAACAGGTTCCACCTACAAAATGGCTTATAGCAACAATAGCAATCGATGGATGAGAAGCAGCGCAAAATAAACGTCTATAAAATGCAAACACTAGTAGGAACTATTAATGGATCTCAAGATTATAAAAAGTTAAAAGATTGCTAATAAAAGTCATGTATTTGTTGCAAGAACTGCGCTTTGTTTCCATGTTAATAAATATATTATATTAAATATATATTAAATAGTCCAAAAAGAAGTGCAATCATAAGTAAATAATTCGCATACAATTAACATTTAAATGCCTGGGAAAGTTACAAAAATGTCGAATACCCTCAACAAAAATGGCAGAAAGGAAATTATTATTTTCGAATGCTGTTTGCTGTTGGCGCCAAAGCTTTTGGTAAGTTTGGTATTTTAGTATTTTTGCCGTTTATAGTTTTTTTTTTTGGTATTTTTGAAAACCATTTTATTTTATCGACTAAGTTTATTCACTCAATTTGCACAAAATCGAATCAATGAACCAGTTTTACGTGTTTCTTCGCGAGTGATTGTTCATTCAGCCCTACTGGTTCGGACAGGAACGGAACTGAAAAGACAGCTTCAAAAACTAGCGGCTTAAATTTATAGAAAAGTTTTCTCTTGCCAATTAATAAAATAACGCAGCTTAATATGTCCACGGCCCAAGCAACTAAAAACTGCATCACGCTAAAGGGCTCAGCGCAAATTATTGTCGAATACTTGAGTAAGTAAATACAAGAAGAACCGCGACGCTTGTAAATCTCGCGCTCTAATTATGGCGTCCTGCCTTTGTTTACTTGCGAAATTAGAATACGGCATCAATTCGATATTATTCCAACGTGGTATTTATCCAGCGGAGAACTTTGATAACACACAACAATATGGACTGACCATACTCATGTCCAAGGACCCTAAGATCACAACCTTTTTGCAAAACGTCTTGAAGCAAACCGAAGGTTAGTTAACTGCGCACGCGTTACGTCTGTTGCGTTCTATGACCAACACCCCTCTCCCCCCGCGAACATACTTTGTCATCCCTTCCAGAATGGCTTTCCAAGAACATGATTAACAAAATCTCAATGGTCATCACAAATGCGCACACCAAGGAAGTTCTCGAGTGTTGGGACTTCAAAATGCACGCGGAGGGTGGCGATGGCGAATCCAATGATCCAACCAAGCAGACATCCTCGAAGCAGCTAAGCCGCATACAAAACGAGATACGAGATGTTATGCGCCAGATATCGGCCACTGTTAGCTATTTGCCGCTGCTCGACTGCATTTGTACCTTTGATGTGATGATACATACCCTTCAAAACACCGAGATACCAGCACAGTGGGACGAAACCGGCGCAGTCTTCATACAGAACGCGCAGGCGGTGCAGTTGCGCTCCTTCTCCACTGGCTTGCACAAGGTGGACACGGTGGTCAATTATAAAATGAGCTCTTAAGTGATATATATAATATTTATTCTGTTTCTATTTACATAAGATAAACGAGTCGCGTATTTTTGCATATTACATAAAAAGCCAAATAATTGCATAGTAGTTGACCTCCACCTCCGATTTAAAAGTCATCTAGAGCAGGAGAGAGAACGGAGAAGATATAAATAAGAAACTAAACAACGTATTCAACAAAACATAGGTCAGTTGGTTTAAGTAGGATTTGGTTTGGATGGTTGGCAGGGTAATCTAACACGCTACCTATCCTAAGCCGAGCTTAGTTGTCAAGTCTTTTAGGAGCTGATGTTATGCTTCTGCTTCTTATTCATTTTTGTGACTACCTATCTAGTCAGTACCAAAGTATTTCTGGCCAAAATGATTGGGTGCCACCGGATGCAGCTCGGAGGTGAGAATCTGCATTCTGGGAAACGCAGTGACTACGGTACGAGCGGCGACAGGCGTGCAGAAAAGATTCGACAATATGATGCACTCCTCAGGCACTCCATGCTCTCGCAAAACATTCACTGCCTTTAACACAGTATTCCCTGTGGACATGATGGGATACATGAGCAGCACCTGGCGGCTACCAATGTCATCGGGAAAACGTGCATATACCACTCGAGCCTCGTGTGTATTGGCATCCGATTCGACCAAAATCTTTCCAATGCGTATAGAACGACAGCAATCCCGCAAGCCCTGCTCCATGGCCTCTCCGGATCGTATGATGGAGACGCCGCAGTTGCCAGAACGATATTTTAGGCCCTGATAAATGGCCCCCGTTGGAGTTTCCACGGCGCAATCGGAGTAGGGCAACTGGTTTAGAGATTCCTCGATAACGAGCCGTATTAGCCGGTCAGCATAAAATTTAAAATCACTCCGTGAGGTGTTTCTGTGTGAGAGGCAAAGATAAGTGGGAGTTTCAACACGTGACAGGCACTTACTTGTCGCGAATGATGGTCAAGAGCTCGGCCACTTGAGAATTTAAAGTAAGCAACTTTAAATTTTTACCATATTCAGCAAGAATCTCTTCTGCAGTGAACGACCCAATGGCTGTTCTCAACGCCTGTTCCTCTTGATCCGTAGCTGCCTGTTCTTGTTCGTGTTCGTTGTTCTCTTCGGCTTGAGAGCCGTTGCTGCTGGGCGAGCCACCGTTGCACATAATTATTTCTTATTTAAAATGTAATTTTAATTGGTTACTTTTTATTTTTTTTGCCAACTTTGTTTTGCTAGCGTGCCAGCAACATGTATCGATGTATCGGTTCACCGCAGCGATTCTAATCGCAAAATATCATTGATAGCATCGATAGTGCTGCTTGCACGACTGTCAGGTATCGATAAACGCGAATAGTGCAATCGCTGTCCTAACTTACCTCGTGTTCTGGTTGCAAACAAAGAAAAAGTGCATTTTAACTATTATTAAATAACATTTAATTTAATTTTAACATTAATAAGTAAGCGCGCGTGTGGGCTCGCGTCGTGCAGCAACTTACGTGCACCTCTATATGCGTCTCATGGTCGCGTAAACGTCTGTGTGTGTGCGTGTGTGTATTGGCATTGTGGCTGTGGCATTGGCGCTCCGCTGCTGCTGCTGCGCCTCAGTTTCCATTCATATTCTATTAACTAATAAACAAATAACCTTCGGGGCCGTCCCGCGCCAGTGCGAGAAAGCCAAAACTAAAAATCAAATTGCAGCATTGACAAGGAAGTGCGTCTCCTTTCCGTCGCCGTCACCGTCACCGTGGGCTGTTTCCGTATTGCTTAGGCAGCAGCAGAAGCAGCAACAAATTCAATTGCAAACGTAAAAACAAAAAAAGGAAAAAAAGGCAAAGCCAAAGTGTTTGCCTGTGTTTGCGCTTGTGTGCGTGTGCGTGCGTGCGTGTGAGTGCGTGTGTGTGTGACGACAAACACAACGACAAATGGCGGACGTAAGCGATACAAATGAACTCTTCGATCTCGAGCTGCACGAAGATGACAAAGCGCGAGACTCGGATGACGACAGGATCGAGTTGGATGATGTGAGTATTTAACAAACTGCGCAGCAGCACAACGACCACCCCGCCCCTCTTTCCCCCACCCTTTTAACATCCACTTACACATGTGCGGTACGCAAGTTTTTCCTCTTTGTTTACCTTTGCTTTGTCTGGCCCCCGCCTCCCAAAAAAAAAATAAAGAAAAAAAAAACGCATTTTCTCTGTTTGGGCGCTGAACTCTCTGCGCTTATCTGCTGCGCAAAAGTCCACCACAGTTTCGGAGTGTGGCGTCATCAGGTTATTCAACATCTTCAGTCATTGCAGCCTCAGCTCAAGCCGCAAGCACAGCTCGGCGCTACACGAAACACATTTTTTTTCTATAATTATCGCTAAATTTGATTTCAACATTAGGCAATTGAACCATACAAATGTCCTTCAAAATAATCAGTATCAATTACTCACACCCGTACCTACACACAGACACACACACATACACACAGGCCCGTCAGTATCAACTTGGGAATTACAACAACTACATTGAGAGCACCCAGTCGCACCCAGTCTTGAATTGTCCGTAGAAAGGCGACTTTATTGACAAAGTACCATCTTAATTCCTGGAAAAAATATATATTTTCATAATGTCAGAAAACAGGAAAGGGCATTTATCTTTTATTTGCCGAAGATTAGATACTCTTGCGAACTTATAGCAGACGTGCTATGAGATAATTCGCTTCTTAATCACGTACAACCAAGTTTTATATACGTTTGATTACATTTTGTACATATGTATATATGTATATGATATAATAATGCGATTTTGATAACACTTTAAAAAGGCATTAAAAACATAAATCAGTTTGTAATTGTTGAATTTGATCAAAATATCTTGGAAAACCAAAATAGTTTACTTTCTAGAATACAATTAGGGACTGAATGTTGCTTTCGTAACCCTATGCTTGTTATGTATTGCTCCCATTAGTGCTGAGATAGAATGTCATTTTCAGTGCATTTTTCACGTCAAAGAATAACGCTGGGTCACACTCACACACGCACACATGCTCATTCGCTCTTTGCAGTAAGCTAAACTCCCACTTAAAAGGAACGAAAACTCTTATCAGTGTATAAAACAAAATTAGAAAACGGAAAAAATTAACGGCAAAGTGCTCTGCTGATAAGAAGCAACAAAAAAAGTCGAAGAAAACGTTCGAATGGAAACCTGGAAATCGTGTCGATCGGCAGCGTGTGCAGCATTATTTGCTTTATTTTCCAGCAATTGAATAAATGCAATCAGGGGAATTTTTTTTATTTTGCAATTGTCATAAATACTTTTGGCTGCAGGGCGGGCGCACGCCCTCGAAATGTGGACATTAGAAATTATGATGGATTTGTTAATTGGAATTCGGCGCCAGCATTTGAGAAGGTTGAACCAGTTGCCGTTCAACCAAAACTGACTTCTGACACCCGCATATGTATACACATGTGTATATTCGAAATGAAACAAATTTCTGTACGCTTTTCAAGGCATGACGAGTTCCCCTGCGCGTCCAAATTGAGATGAGAAGTCTCCAAGTCGCCCCGCCCCGCCCCCTAAACGAAGAGGCAAACGTCTCGGCAGCATCCGCAGCAGAATTGCCGGCAGAGTATTTGGCATTGTTCCGAGTTCTAATTTTAGTTTGTCATTAAAGAGAAGGTGTGTGCGTCCGTGTGTGTGGAGAAGTGTCTGGCTCTATATACATACAAGTATATATATTTAGTCATCTATATGTATAGCCGATCAACAGCGAACCCGAGGCAAAACGGAATTTTTGTGCGCCTCGTTCTGCGTCGGCGTTGCCGCTTTTAACGATTTCTCTCGGCCCCCAAAGCACTTTCTCTCTGGCAAAGAGCGCATCTCAATTTGTCTCTGTCATAAAGATACTTTGCCCAGTTCCAGGTAGACGCAACTTTCGTCAGAGATCGTTTAGCAAATCCTGTAACATTTTTTAAATAGAGTTCAAAGATTGACATCCATTAAATAGTAGAGTCTAAAATATGACTAAAATTCGTTGAAATCTTTAAAGTTAAGTAGTTATTAACTAACTTTTAAACAAAATACACTTGTTTAAAAGAGATGCTACCTAAGCAACGCTCCATGTTCCAACAGAAGCTATGTGAAATAGGAGTACGATATTAAAAAGATTTTCCTTTTAATGTATTTAGCGTTATTGCATTGATGCTATTGATGAAGTTCTTCGAAATATCTTGCAAAGGAACATGTTTTTACGTAGCAGCTATATGATATAGTAACCCGACCTGGACAATACGATACGAATTTATAATGATTTAATGGAATCGGAATTATTTTGTTTATAATACCCTCTGCAAGGGAATAAAAATCTCAGATGTTAGAAATGTAGACTTGGAATTCCTTTTCTCTTAATTTAAACCTTTGAATACCTGTTGAACGTCTATGATATAGCGAAAGTATTTGAATTATTGCGTCTCGATAAGTTGTTGAATATTATTTAGATTGAGTATCTTTAAAATGTTTACAATGTAACTTGTGGGCTTTCAATAGGAGCTACTAATTGTTCAAGTTTGTTTTTTTTTTTTTTCTGACTCATTTGCATATTGTATATACTCTTCTTATATTTGTTTCTCTGTCTCTGTCTCTCTTGCAGGTCGATCTAGAACCGGAATTGAGCATAAACCTACACCAAGAGTGAGTAATGCCCAAGTTATGTCGCTGGCAAATGATGAGACTGCGATTCCGAGGCTTTCGCAGGCGCCGCACAGACGACGCGATTCTCTTCTGAGAACAGCAACTGAACAAATGTTGAGGGGGGGAATTCCCATAAGTGTCGGGCGGATGATAATCGGCCCAAGGCTGGGGCAATAACGTATCAATTGCCACACAAACACGCACATTATGATCGCCGCCAGAAGGAGAGGCACACCTGTCGTTGGCGGCAGCTACCGGGACTGATAACGCGACTGGCTTTGTCATGTGGCGGCGTCAGAATTGTTTACAACTGGCAATTGACTACCAACAAGCTGTTGTTGCCCCGTCTAGTGGGCAATATGCCAGCCAGCCGATGTGCAAACACTCGATATGCTGATGGAGTGGGCTGTTAGTTGGCTAGCCCGAGGGGTTGGGCAATGTTACGGGGTGTGGGGGGCGCCAATTGGCGCGTGTTTGCCAGCGAACTTATTTATAGAACGCGTGGGTTGTCCATTTCCCACGCCAGCAGCAATGCACACGAAATCTAAAACACATTTGCTAAACTAATCGTGTCCCTAAACTCTGCCTCTCTTCCTCTCTCTCTCTTCACCTTGGTGGAAACAGCAGTGAGGGCCAGGAAACCATACAGCTCTCCGAGGAGAATGTCAATCCAGGCAAAATCAAATTGGGCCCAACGGATTTTGAGCTTAAGAAAGTGCTTGGCAAAGGTGGCTACGGCAAAGTATTTCAGGTGAGTTGCTACCAGTAAACCATTTTAAACTTGTCTATAATGCTCGACTTGTCTTCCCCAACAGGTGCGCAAGACCGCTGGACGTGATGCCAACAAATATTTTGCGATGAAGGTGCTCAAAAAGGCGTCCATAGTGACCAATCAAAAGGACACGGCGCACACGCGCGCCGAGCGGAATATACTCGAAGCAGTCAAGGTGAGATACAGACCAAGTTCTAACGTAGAAGAATATTAGTTGGAAAAAAACAAGGTTATTCGTTTCTCGTGTTCATATGGCTAAAAATATCAAAAACAAATGGTAAACTCGCATAAACATTATGCTAAGAAGCTAATCATTCATTTAGAATGCCATTAAAATCTATCTCTCTACATATTACTGCATTGTTTCAGACAACTAAACCAACTATCTAACTATCCCAATAAATTTATATTTATATGTTCTTTACATAATAATTCATTTTTCCGTTTTCTTTCTTTTACAGCATCCGTTTATTGTGGAATTGGTGTATGCCTTTCAAACAGACGGTAAATTGTATCTGATACTCGAGTATCTAAGTGGCGGTGAGCTGTTTATGCATTTGGAGCGAGAAGGCATTTTTCTGGAGGATACCACATGGTAGGTTACCCTGTTCAGGTCCGTAGAACGGAAATCTAATCAAACATATATTGCTTGCAGCTTCTATTTGAGTGAAATCATATTGGCTTTGGGTCATTTACACAAACTGGGCATCATTTATCGCGATCTGAAGCCAGAGAACATACTGCTGGACGCACAGGGACATGTGAAGTTAACGGATTTTGGTCTGTGCAAGGAGCACATACAAGAGGGTATTGTCACCCACACCTTCTGCGGCACAATTGAGTACATGTGCGTGCGCGCCCGCCAATCCTTTCAATAATTGCTTAAGCTGTCGATGTTCAAAACTAAACACAAACTCTTGTATTTTATAGGGCACCAGAAATCTTAACTAGAAGTGGCCATGGCAAAGCCGTCGACTGGTGGTCCCTGGGCGCACTCATGTTCGATATGCTCACGGGCGTGGTAAGTGCCATAACAATATCACTCATCTTTCTGAGAACCTAATACGTCATGCGCTTCATTTTGCAGCCGCCCTTCACCGCCGAGAATCGCAAGAAAACCATTGAGACCATACTGAAAGCCAAGCTTAATCTGCCAGCCTACCTCACACCCGAAGCCAGAGATCTGGTGCGGCGCCTGATGAAGCGACAGGAGCCACAGCGTCTGGGCAGCGGACCCGAGGATGCGGCGGCGGTTCAGTCACATCCATTCTTCAAACATGTCAACTGGAACGATGTTGTGGCCCGACGCCTCGAGCCGCCCATTAAGCCGCTGCTGGTAAACCAACAACTCGATATTAATGCTGAGCAATTAACTTATCAGATTTTATACGATTTAAACAGCGAAGTGAGGATGATGTCTCCCAGTTTGATACGAGATTCACAAGACAAATTCCCGTGGATTCACCGGATGATACAACGCTCAGCGAAAGTGCCAATTCAATTTTTCAAGTGAGTGCTAGGATTAAGCTTATATTATGCCTTCCAAATGGGAGTTTAGTCAATCTTCATATTAGTTAAAGTTCAAGCAGGATAAGGATAGATTTATGTACCTGCCATCCAGAGTCAAGCTAGATTTATTAACAGAGTTTTCTAGGAAGAGCAAAAAAGTTTATAGACTATATATAGGTGGATTCCGACTCTGAATATTTGATCCCTATTTCCAAATTTCCAACTTTTAGTATATATAAATTGTTAAGCACGTTTCTTAGGTCAGTTTTAATGCTTTTGGGAGCAACCAGCAGGTAGGGAATTTCACAATAAATACTTTTCTTAAGTTAAGCTTAATGTTAGTCGGGCCAATGCTACAATCAGCGATAGTCGGCGCCGCATTCAAAGTGCGGCTCCTTCAGTGGTATGCCCGTGGGTCCGTCTGTGAACTCGCAGAAGTTAAGGCCAATGCGGCGAAAAGGATGACACTTGCTCTTGGGATTGCCCCACTTGCCGCGATAGGTCAGCCAATCGGGCACCAACGAGCGACCTGCTCCAAAAAAGAATAAAGATTAAATAAAGTCAACAACTTTGCAAATCGCATACACACCATAGGAGCGCAGATTCTTATAGCTTATGTCGACTGCCTTCCAAGTGTTCCAGGGCGTGCCAAAGCCATTGATATCATAAAGTCGAGCCACCTTAACGAAACGATGCTTGCCGGGCGCCGTCCACAGACCATGGGATCCCTTGGCGGCAAAGAGCACCGGATGGTTCTTGAACGTTGTGACCGTTTTGGGAAAATTGGGACGCTGCAGGATGCCCTTACGCGTCTCCTGGCGCCGAAACTCAAAAGATCCAGTCAGGCGATTGTAGCTGTAGTAGGCGCCCGCATCGTGAGCGGACACATACATGGCCTGCGGCTCAGCATCGCCGTTGAAGTACAAACTCATGTGCTCCCAATCGCCCACATGGCTGCCAATATCCCGGCGATGGCCCAGACAGTAGCCGTAGACAGCCGGAAAGGGTATGCGGCCCAGGGGCCCCAGGCTCAACGTGCACATCGTCTTGCCCTGGCTGTAGGGATAGAACATCCAATAGGTGACATGGAAGCCAGGCAGCTGTCCCTTGACCCGCTGCGTCTCTTGCGCTGGCGCATCGCTTATATTGTTATCCTCCAGATTGTCGTCCTGATCGACGCCTCCACTGAACTTGACATTGTCAGCCAGATTGGCTATAAAGTTATTCACTGGGAGCCCATTCTCCAACTCCGACTCCAGCGGCTGCTGCTGCTGCTGCTCAAACGTCGCGGGTTCAGGAAGCGCTGCGCCAGCTAACTGTGTCTCACCCATGACCAGATCGTAGTCACTGAGCGGCCCGTACTCTGGCATGCTGCCTGCCTCGCGCCTCACGCGCTGAAACAGTGGAAAGAGTCGCGACGAACGTCGGACCGTCTCATTACGTTCCTCCAGCGGATCAATGGACACCGGTATGTAGGGACCCCGTGTGCTGGCCAATGGCGGCGGCGGCACTGCTTCGGGCTCGCGTTTGGCCGGACCGGGACACAGTGTGACCACGCCATAGATGGGCACTGGCGCCTCATTGGGATTACGCCCGTGGATGAACGATTGCTCGTTCTTGAGCAGATCCTCCATTTCGCCATTGGTCACCAGATGCGATTTGGTGGAGTATTCGCTGAAGGGCACGCCCGGCGTAAAGCTTCGATCCTTGTCCATGGGATGCACATGCTGCAGAAACTCCTCAACGCCCAGTGGCATGAATTTTTCCTCCGGCGCCAGCCACACAATCGGTGCCCATTGCTTGATCAGGCGTTCAACTAGACGTAAGAGAGTGGAAAAACCAGATTAGCGCCATAAACTAAATTTTAATCAGCTCTCGGATGCTCTGGCAATTACTTAACCCAGCTGTAAGCACACACACGCACATACGGGAGCTGCTCTACGTCTAGCTCTAAATTTGTTCGTTTTCCAAATTCAGGTGTAATAAATTTCACTTTCACACACTTGAAGCGGCCACCCAAAAAGTTACCGTACCGACAATTTGTCGCCCTTTCCCCACCCCCAGCCCAGCCGTTAACCACCTCGCACCCAGTCGTTGTTGTTGTTGTTGTGATTGTTGTTAGTGCAGCGGCTAATTTGCAATTTAAACACTCGCCAAAGCCTCCGTTCGTTATCGTTGTTTTGGGTTTTGGCTACAACTGTTCCATATAAATACGCGCACGACGAGAGCCCCGCCAGCGTGAAGGCCCCACCAACTTCGGTCATCTAAGTAAATCATGTCGAAAATTTCACTTCAATATCAACAGAAAAAAAAACCGGATAAAGCGACTTTTATTTGCTCTAGAAAAACTGTAGACCTTGAAATTTCATTCACTTCCTCCATTTAATGGTGTTCTTCCTCTCTGCTAGTTTTTCTTTTACTCAGTCTCCCTCGCTTAGTTTCTCACTCCCATTTTCTTTTGTACTTAGTAAACATGAAAACATGTAAGCCTTACTTCACTTAATGAAAATCGCATAGAAAGGCGGCGTTGGAGAGTTGGAAAAGGGGAGAGAGTTTATTATATAAATATAAATTGCTCTTACTTGTGTTAACTCTATTAAGTGCCGCCTTTCTATGCGATTTTCAAAATGATAAGTAAATCTGATAAAATGTTGATGTTTATTTAGGATAAGAGCAGAGTAAAAGTGGGAAAGCTAATTAGAGTAAGCGATCAGGTGAGAGAAAAGTATAAAAAGAGAGTGAGTAAGAAAGTAATTGCGAAAGAAGGTAAGGGACAGACCGCAACGAAACAATTGTTTATATTTTCTTAAGTCATTATCGTCTTGTTGTTACTTGACATGAAAATCGCATAGAGCGATCCCCATTTAGTCAGCAATTACCATATTTGATAAGCTGTTCTTAACAGTGAATGATCAGAACTAAACCTTCCCTTTTCTTAAAAATGTGCATCATTAAATAACAGAGTTAGCTAAATTGGTAATACTCATAGAGTTAGGGTATATGAAATATGCCTAACAGCTGATTAGCTGCCTCCGTAGCTGTTGCTGTTGATTTCGTTGTTGTTGTTGTTGTTGCTGTTACTGCTAATAGATACCGTATGCATACCTACTTCTTTATCTAATGCCGTTATTTGAGCATATTGCAATGTTTGTTGTTGTTGTTGTTGCTGTTCATAGGCGACGGTGGAGGCCTCATTGTTGTTGTTGTTGTTGTTGTTGTTGCTGGTGCTATCGATGAAAGTGCCAGTGCCGTCAGTTGCATTTAAAAGTCTTGTTGTCGTTTTTGCAGTGCTTGTTGCAGCAACAGTCGCTGGCAGCAGTTGCTGTTGCTGTTGCTGTTGTTGGGGCAGCGCTGTCGCCATCAGGAGCAGCAACGATAGTGAATTTATTTTCAACAGCTTGGACATTTTACAGTAAAAAAGTCTTAGTTGTTACTGTCTGTTAAATACAATGAATGAACAAAGCGTCGCTTTTATTTTCGCGGCTACCAGCAATTTGTTGTTGCTGCTGCTGTTTTCACACAATTCGATTGTTTGCCAATTTTTATTATAGATTTCTTGCACATGCTTTTATTGTTGTTAGCAGGTGGTTATGTGTGTCTTTTTATTATTTAAAATTATGCAATTTTTACACAGTCGCGCACAGTTTTAAAGCACTTCCGCACGCACTGTTGCCAGCCCTAGCAGTTTGACAAGCGCTGTGGCAACGTTGACGTCTGCTGCGGCTGCGACTGCGCTGCTGCCAAACGGTTCTTGTCCCAATTACAAGCACGCGACGCCGACGCCAACGTTGCTGCGCTCTCGCTTTCTGCACGTGCGCCTGCGCCTTGCGCTCGCTCTCTTTCTCTCAGCCGTTGTTGTTGTTGTGACTGCAAGCACTTGAACTGGTTTGATATTTGGACTCCGGCCCTTTTGTCTCACCGAACCCGATAGCCCTGAAAGCCAAATGATGCGATGCGCCGCGAGGTCCAACCTCAACCTCATCCAAGTCCAAGAATGAATGTCAATGCGTTTGCATAGTGAAATTAAACTTTAAGCTTTTTGCAAATCCCAGCTAAGCCTTTCTCCAAACGTCACGACTGCGCCTTATAAAACCGTAAAAAATAGCAGGTGTTGGGCAGAGGGGGAAGGGGAGGGGGTCCGTGTAAAGCAGTGCGCTTGAAATTTTTTTTACACGACACGAAAGTTTGATTTTTCTTTTTGCTTCTACTTCTTCAGCCCGGCTATCGTGTGCACAGTTTGAGCGTTTCTTTGCGACTGGCCAACGAACGTGACTGAGAAATGGCCCTGGTTAAAGACGCAGAGAGTTGCGCTAACTGTTGTTGTTGCTGCTGCTGCTGCTGTTGCTGCTGCTGCTGTTGTCGCTGCCGCTGCTGGCTCTGGCCAACGAGCAGCTAATTGCAGCTCATGAGCAGCCAAAACTGTGTTGTTGTTTTTGCTCAGCTTATTTGTTTATAAAATGCGTTGCGCTTGGCTTTCGGCGGGTTGTTTCGTTTTTTTGTGTTTGTTTTGCTTTTTTGTGTATTGATAGTGCGGTTTGTTTTGGCCAATTGTTTAGAGTAGTGCTCAGAGTGCTGTAATTTTTAACAGCATTGCTTTATATTTGCTATTGAAACTTACTGGACAGCTTGGGAGGCACTGCACAGTTTGATGTTTAGTGTATTAACGTCCTCATAAGCATTGTTAACAGTTGCACATGCACTGCAAAGCCGATTAAACAGTCGCGCTCTCTTATAAGCGAAGCTTCAACTCGCAGTGCAATAACTCTCAAACTGTGTGTTTTTGAAAGTAAATGTGCAGCTTGGCTATAACTGTACAGTTTGATGTTTATTATATACATGTCCTTATAAGCATATTAGCCGTTACAGTCGCACTGAAGCGCCGCGCAACCTGCTTCGTTCTCTTTCTTATAATAAAAGCTTTAGGCAATGCCTCGCCAACTGCTGTTGGCACCTGCCGTGTGCTAATTGGAAAATTCTTGTTTCAATTAGAACCTCTGTACGGGTTATTATTAGGAGCTTTCTCATGGCACGCCCGCGACTTTAGTGGGTCACCGCGGCGACTGGGGTGTAATGCATTGTGATATGATCAGCTCCCAAATCGAGGCTTCAATTATTATTATTGCGCTCACGTACGGCTTTATTCCATTCCAATTCAACGCGTCACGCGTTTGTGCAGCCTCTGCCCCAAGCGCTGTGGCGTGCCGGATGAATTTACACGCCAGCCGACGGCGTGTTTAATTATTTTATTGCATTTGTAGTATAAAGTTTTTTCTTTCTTTTTGTTTATTATATTGTGGTTTTGAGATTTCGTCAAATTTTAATTAGTGTCTCTCACGCGGGCTGCTAACCAAAATTATGCAAAATGTGTTACATAGGCGGCAGTTAGGTCAGTCCGTTGGCTGGCTTGCATAATCCGTGCTGTCCATATGGCTGGGCATGATTAGTATGCGCCAGGGTAGTCCCTGGCAGTTGCGTTTGGCGGGGTGCTGAACCAGGGCAACGGGGCTGCTCCAAATTCAATGGTGCACGCGATCAGGCAAGTGGGTCGCATTGGAAATGGAAATGGAATTGACAGCTGGAAAAGCCGACAAAACGCGGATAAATTTACTAATGGAAATATTTACAGGGTTTCACCTACGTAGCGCCATCGATACTGGAGGATATGCATCGGGCCAATCGGATGCCGGCGCGCTCGCCACGACGCACACTGCGACAGCATCAGCTGCCGGATAACAGCTTTCGGCTACAGTTCCCGTCCGCGAATGCGAATGTGGGCGCCAATGTGCCCATGGCCATGCAGCGGTCAACGTTGTTTGCCCGTGCCACGCCCCCACATCAGCAGCACCAGCATCCGCATCCGCATCATATGCAAACATTTGCGCCGCGCCCATCGCCAGCGCAGGACGAGATGATGGATGTGCAGCAGGGACTGCCCATGGTCTAAGGTTACTATTGGATGAGGTGCGAGGGAGTCAACGAAGGCGAAGCGAATGGAGTGAAAATTGTTTTTGTTATAGGAGAGTGACAGAGAGGGAGTGGCGAGAGAGAGAGAGAGAGAGAACGAGAAAGAAGGGAGATAAAGAGGAGATCGCGTGCTACGATGAACGTTTTGTTTGGATATACATAAATACTAAAGTTAGAGACATACGCAGATACTATACTATAACATAACATATGCTATTGCTATAGCCAACTATATAGAATAACTATATACATATATAACATATATATATATATACATAACAACATATATATGTACATGTATATGTCTGTAGATTGTGAGACACTGAGAGTAGCTAGCTGGAGCGAGTTCCGGATCGTGTATAAATATTTATCAATTACTGATTATGTTTTATACTTATATAGGTAAAAGGTTTACACAATTTAGTTCAAATGTACACTTTAAACTTTTTTGATTTTTTTTATATATACACACATATATACATGCTATACACGCAAAGAAACAATATAATAATATATGTTAGATACAAACACATACTTAACCAACAACAACAACAACAATAACTACTATTATTATTATTAATAATTATGTTGATTGCTTGAGTTCTATTATTTGTCTTAACTATTCTTAAATGCACACAGAGAGCCACAACAATTATGATTATGAAACAATTATGAAAACGATTTCTGTTTAGATTCGAGCTTTAAATTCTTGTCTAGCCATTTAGTAATTTTGATGAACCTTTGTGTACAGTGACCACCTAGTATATAGGACGAAAAAGAAAGGAAAGAAACAAAACCAAGAAAACACCATACAACAATTAAAACAATAATAATAATAATTATGTTAAAAATACAAAACGATTAATTGATAATAATAAAAAGGAATATATGAAGCTAAATGCAAAGGTTTCCCAGCGTAAAAGTCGTAATTCGCATGTTGCATAGCCAATACATTATTTTGTTTATTTTTTTCGTTTGTTTGTTTGTTTGTGTTTATTTGATAGTTTGTCCTAATGAAGAAAACTCGCTTTCGGTTGCTGCAACTTTCTATGTTATTTCACTTAAGAGCGGTTCGAACGTTTACAATTTAAAAAAATAAGGCATTTCTCAAAACAAAGCGGCAGCGACAAAATATGCAAAAAAAAAAAAACTAAAAAGAAAGTCTAAACAAAAACAGAAACAAAAACGAAACCCTTGATGCTATACTAATTTGTAAAAATCAATTTACCGCGTACTGAGAAGCTAAATGCTGCCACAACAACAATAAAAACAAACAAAAACTGAAAGATAACAAAAGTAAACTTAAATACAAATTAATTATAATAGATATGTACAATTAGAGTCGTGTATGTACTTTGATTATATTTTGTTTCAATTGTTCTTATATTTTTTTTTTTGTAATTCTATCTAAATATTGATATTTGCAAACATTAACAAAAGTAAAAGAAAAAAATCGCAAAAAAAAAATGGAAAAACATAATTGAAAACACAATGTCAAATATAATCAAAAGGTGCTTTGAATTGTTTAAAAAGACAAGACAACTACAATACAAAAAGAAAACATGAAACAAAAACAAAAACAAAAAAAGAATAGAAAAACAAAAACAAACTATGGAAAACGAGAACGACTAAAAACTAAATACTTATAAAATGGTTATATGTGTATAAAAACATATTTATATAAACAAAAGAAGAAAATACCTCAGAAGCAATTATTTTTGTTAAAAGAAAAAAAGAAGAAAAGAAACAGCAAAACCAACTAAATTATAATACGAGCTAAATGAATAAGAAAGAAAACAAATATTTTGCCACAAATATTTGTATGCGATTTAAGAGAAAAACAAAAATGAAAAACAAATAAAAAACACAAAAAAAAAGTATATATTAATATTATAATATAAATATACATATATTTTTTGAATTGTAATACCTTTTCTGTTTATGTTTTATATGGTTTGTGAATTTCTTTTGTAATTTGCATTATTTTCAATTTTGTTATTCAACAATAACAAAAATAAATAACAAATGGAAAAATAGTTTTCATTGTGGCGCCTGCAAATTGAATAAGAAATGTCTTATTTTCTTTGTTAGTGTAGCCCAGCAAAAGAAAAACAAAGAAACCAAAAAAAAAAAAAGAGAAAGAAAATGAAATTGTGCTAAAACTTAAGTAATATATGTATAAATAAAAAATGAGACTCGATGTTAAGCAGCTGAAGAAGTAACAAACATGAGACCCAAGCAACACCCAAGAATGATGAAACACTGCCTACATAAAATGGAAACAACAACAACAACAAGAAACTAGCAACAAATTACAAACAATAAAACAAAGAGCAAATAAATGAATTTAAAACAAATATGATAGACAGAAACGAAAAAGAAAATAAATTAAAGTCAAACAGTTACAGTTTGTATTCGTAGATAGCCAAGTTAAACAATTGAGACAAAAGCCCAGCAAACAAACAAGAGGAAGAGACACACACAGTCTTAACAAGAAATATATATATATACAAAAACAAATGAAAACTTCGCATAGATTCTAGAGCTGCGATCTGCATACTAAATATATACCGAAAGTTTAGCTATTTGTACAGTTCACAGAGCTAATTAATTACACAACTAATTAAACGTTTGGCTGACTGGCTCAAATAATAATTATATGAAAACATAAAAAAAACAGTTGAAAACCTTTGCAAGTTCACTGTTAATAAAAATCATTTAAAAAATTGCGCCAAACACGCGATCACATTGGCTAACTCTGGCCTAATAACAGTTATTTTGTAAGTGCGCCAGACATGTTAGTAACTAATTAGGCGCGGTTTAATTACTAGAACGAACGACATTAGCAAAAGAAAAAAAAAACAGTTCTTGCAACTTGTGGCCATAGCTAGGAAGAGGAAGATGTTGGGGTACAAACTAATGGATTTGCCGCAGCCAAAACGGAAGACAACGCAGAAATCCAAAAAATGAAAAACAAAATAAATATTAAAAAAAAAAGAAAAAAGAAAACTGACAACTAATAATGCAAACAGCAACAGATCCTAGTTAATTAAATTGTACATTTTTATTATCATTAAGGTTTAAGTGCAGTGCATAATATAAATATACATCAAACTAAACATATATACACGCATATATATGATGGACAACAACAACAACAACAAATGTATATCGTAATAAATTCAAACTAAATTTTACAAAAAAACTAAAAAACAAATCTTTAGTTAATCGAGAAGTTATCAGGCTGGTCAACCAACTGAATCGAACTTCTCTGAATACTTTCTATATTATATTTTCATCCATCCCCATTTCACGAGAATTAAGGGCAAGGTTTGATAGGGGGCCGCTTTTTTTAGTTTAACAAATATATATATTAAGCTTGATAAAATATTTTATAGAACATTTTTCACTAATTGTGTTTCCCTCTTTATATGGAGGTCTTTAGAGAATATTTATATATAGCTCATATATATATATTGAGCTGAAAAAACTTCTTTGTTTCTTATGGAACTTTTTCTTTTGCATATAAAAATATAAGTTGTTCAACATTTGGAGCATGCATATATAACAATAAGACACATTTCCACATTTACCTGAAGTTTATTCAAGTTAGCCAAATATTAATGGCAATTTTATGGAATATTACTATATCTAAATTCCGAAACCGATTTTATATAACATCTGGCTACTAAGGCCTTCAGCTAAGGCATCACTAGCCAAGGATTCGAACCAGCATGCTTCTTTTTCATTAGCTCCAACTTGGACAACTACTCTACCAAGCAGACTGCTGCAAAATTGATGTCTGCAATTGCTCTCAAACTGTAATTCCGCATTTATATGGCGTCACGCCCCGTGAAATCTAACCGGCCCATGCAGACACGCAGCTGGCGTTGATTAGCATAAGCAAATGCCAAAAAAGTTTTGCACAGTTGCCAATAAAGCAAGGAAATGGCAAATAAAACAGGTAAAAAGCGAAAGTATGTTAACATAAATCGATCGATTTAGCTGCTTGAAAGTCAGGCACAGCTATTTTTAAGCCGTAAGGCGAAACCGCAAGGACGAGTCGCGCCTGCCACCGAATGCTGCAATGAAAGCGGAGCTGCCAGCCCGTGCGCTCCACCCAGGCCCTGGCTTCGGCTTCGTTTGTGCCCAATTGGATTGCCAGGTGACACACACACACACACACTCACTCACACAGAGGCGCAGCTGTCCTGGCTACCACACACACATTGAAGCCCACATGGACATTGACATGGCAGCATAATAATAATAAATACCGCTAGGCAACCGTAAATTCCTTAGCATGAATCGATTTAACTAACCCACACCGCGCCTCAAGGAACAGCCAGCAGCAGGAGCAGCAGCTGCAGCTCAGTAGCAGTTGAAGTCGGTACGGATTCGGACAGAGACAGCCAGGTCGGGTCAGGTACTCCATTCTCTAGCTCAACCGAAAGCAAAGTGTGCCAGTCGAAAGACTTACTGAAAGAAGGAGAAAGAAAAAAACTCTCCCACACACACACCTACACAGGCTGTGTATAAAGAATTGCATACGTAACATTTGATTGCGCATTCGATTAAATCTTACGCCATATATATATTTTATATTTAACCAAGCGAAATACAGTGACAGATTCAGTGTAAGAGGCAGTGCATCTTTATCGACCATGTTGCCGAATTTGAAGCCGCGTCGCATAACGGGCCTGCAGCTGGCCAGCAAGCATTTGGGTCCAGTGGCCAAGTGCCCGCCCAGATACTCGGAGGAGGATTGGGACTACAACAACAAGATCAAGTTCCGGATCACCTGCGACCAGGAGAAGCTCGCCGAGCGCATTGTCGAGTGAGTATTGCAGCTGCAGCACCAGACCAACTCCATGGCTCTCTCTGTTTGCCTTTCAGGGAGTCGCGTCGCGTGGTCGATGAGACGAAGGACACCACCAAGAACTGGCAGCGCGAGGTGGAGCATCATATGCGCGAGCGCACCAGCGAGATACGCTTCCTGGTCGACGAGCTGAATCGCCAGAAGAAGACGGCCGCTCTGGAGGATGAGACGCTGAACACGTATCGCAATCGTGTGCTGAATGCCATCGAGTTTCTCAAGGACAAGTCGCTGGCCATATGCAAGCAGTGCCTGATCCTCCGCGAGGGTCGCATTGGCGTCGATCTCTGCGACGATGAGGTGGATCGCTCGCTGCGCCGCGAGCTGAAGGTCATCAAGGGTTGCCAGGGCCTGGCCGACGCTGCACTCAAGGAGGCCGAGGAGCAGATACGCAAGCTGCGTGCGGCCATGTATCTGCTGGACCAGGATCTGGCAGCCAAGGACAAGTCACTGGCAATTGACGAGAAGAATCTGAAGCTAAAGGAGTTTCAGCAGGACCTTGGCAAAGGTCAGGATTTGTCCAAGCAGCACTGGTAGGTCAGCAGATGTATTAACCATCAGGCCTTAAACTATTCCAACTCTCATTACCCAAGCCAATTCTCGCTGACCGAGTGGCAGGCGCAGACCTATGAGAATCTGGAGGCAAATGCCAAGGCTTTGGTATCCGCCGGGCAGCTGCGCGCCTACATTGATCTGCTGCTGAAGCAGATCTGTGAGGACATGCAGAACCAGACGGATCGCTCCAATGAGGCCTTCGAGCGACGCATCGCTGAGACGAAGCACGTGAAGCAGTGCCTGGAGAACAAGCACAAGGACACCATGGACCACATCCATCAGGTGCAGCGCAACATGAGCGAACTGGAGCGCGAGATGTCCGACAAGCAGCGCGCCATCACACTATGCCAGACGCGTCTTAGCAATCGCGCCCATCGGCCGGGCCTGGAGCTGACCTGTGACATGGTCCAGGATGCGCTCTACAATGAGCTGCAGGCCCTCAAGGCCTCCGTCTGCAAGCTAAATCAGAAGCTGAACGAGAACAAGGCATCCATGCGCTATCTCATGCATGTCCAGGTCATGCAGGAGGAGGAGATCAACATCAAGGCAAACAGCTGCAAAATAGACGAGGTCGACTGCATGACCCTGCGCCAGGCACTCAAATACACATCGTTCTAGTCTACCAGTCCACTTCGACCAAGTTCTTCACACACCATAACTTAATCAAATTCAAATTTAAATTACACGTGCATTTCCCGTTCAATACTAAATTATCAACATGTGCATGGTTAATAAATTGAAATTCACTCCAAGTTCCAATTATGCAAGCATTTCTCATCGATTTTATTCGCATTGGACACGCTACTGAAATATTCACAAATATGGGGCAATCGCTAGACAACTTATTGAGATTCTTTTTATAGCATTTTCGTAAAAGCCTTTTAATACTCTTATGATATATTTCTTTCAATTCTTAAATAAGTTTTAAATATTAACTATATATTTGATTATTTAACTAACATACGAGTATCATAGTATAGCATTAAAAATATGTTGCACGCTTTTTCTTACTTATAAACATCATTTAATTTAATGTAATATGTTTATTGGATTCTTCGAAAATTCCCAAGACTTCGGACAGACTTTACAAGATAACAATTTTCCACCCGTTTTCCGACCATTGGCGTGATTTATACAATTTGAATCAAACTATCGCCCAGTCAGTTAAGTTAATATATAAGTTGATTTATATATATATCCGTTAAGTCTATATATACATACATTTATATAATGAGATAATGGTACTATGCTCTACACAGATTTCTCTTAGCCAATGAGAGTCTCTTTGCATATGTGATTTTTGAGAACAGTTTTAAAAATCATCGAGCAGTGCTGACAGCTATGATATTCTTTGGAAGAGTGACGCTTGATGTGGTTATTGAGATGGGGCTTCTGCATAAAGTCCATCGGGCAGTGCGGACACTTGAATGGACGTTCACCCGTATGACTGCGTATATGCTTCTGAGCATCTGAATGATCTGTGAAGGCCATCGGGCAGTAGGAACACTTGTAGGGACGTTCGCCTGTATGAATGCGGATATGCCTCCGAAGATTTGAACGAGTGCTAAAGACCTGCAGGCAGTGAGGACACTCGTTCCTATGAGTACGCATATGCTTATTAAGGGTGCCTTTCTCATCAAAGGTCTTCCAGCATTGCATACACTCGTGCGTATTTTTATCGTTACCAATCTGCGTGTGGTCCGTAGCTTGTTCCCTTAACTCGCCTTGGGCAACTAGGCAGCTGTGAGGGACGGGAGGTTCTTCAGTCAGGTTGCTCATTTGCTCCTTGAACAAAGGATAGTTGCCTTGACTAGCATCTGTGTCTTCTTGCACTATATCTGTTTGGCTCAGCTGCTCCTCCATTTTGGGGCCCTTCAATTCTATGTCACACGCAAAAAATACGTTAGTTTCTATTTTAAGACATGCTTTCTTGTTCAACCGTTCCCAAAGCAGCTGGTGGCTCCTTTCACATTTGCGCTTGAATCTAAATGCACTCACAGAGTCGGAAATACAGGAATGGCAAATCATTTTGGGCAATGGATCATTTGGGCTGATCTCACAGTCGACGCACTCGGTTAGCATTTCCGCCAGGCTGGGTTCCTCCATTGGCAGCTGGCACTTGGAAAATATTTCCTCAAGGGGTTCAGTGCTACTCATGCAAACTCTGCAGAGTTCTTCCATGTTTATTTACAATTAAAATGAGTACAAACTGACCAAATTTACTGCTCTCGTATAAGCTTGATAAAATCGATTTATGGCTTGCAAGTATCGATACAAAAGGAAAATTACTTTTACTGGTCACACTTTATAGCTTGCATTTTTTAAATATCTCATTTAACGGAAACCAAGACAGTTCTAATTGTTTACAATGTTTATTTTGAAAAACCTTTATTTTCAAAAGTCATAGGAACAATAAAATTAGCATAAGTTTCATTCGAGTCTTGTAAAGAAAATCAGAAGCAAGGATTCCTGTTTGATGTGTATACATTTCCCACATTTTACAGCAGCTTAAAAGCTCATCTTTTACAAAGTGCATATAAAATATTGACATGAAATCCTTCAACTGATATTATCAACGGTAGTAGATTGTTTTAAGTTGTTTTCGGACTGGCAGAAATCTCTATAATGGGTGTGAACGAGAAGGTGATCTTGGACATGCTGCTTTCGGGTGAAGCTCTTCGTACAATGGGGACATTGGTATGGACGCGGACATTCTTCTGCATGAATGCGAACATGCTTTTGCAGGTTTGAGGGATGATTAAATGTCTTCGAGCAATAGGAACAAATGAATGGACGTTCGCCTGAGTGAATGCGGATATGCGACTGTAAATTCGAGTTATTTTTGAAGGCTTTCGGACAGTGTGGACAAGTGTATGAACGTTTTCCCGTGTGACTAAGCATGTGGTCCTTCAGTTGATGGCTTAGCATAAACACTTTTGGACAATCTTGACACTTGTAAGGACGCTCGACGGTGTGAGTGCGCATGTGCGCTTGAAGACTCGCACGCCGTTTATATGATTTCGTGCATTGAGTGCATATAAATCGACGATCTTCTGTTCTATGGTAAACTGTGTGCTCAGTCAACAGGGTCATGTCAGCGAATACCTTGCCACAAATTCTACAGCGATGATTATTTTCGGTGGCATCGGCTTTAGCAATGTCCAAAGTCCCTGGCGAAAGTTCTTCCTTAAATTTGCTGTATAGTGGCAGCATGTTTTCTTCAAAGTTATCTTCCCAGTTATCCGGCATATGTGTCTCTAGCTGCTCCATCTTCACGGACGCCAGTTCTATGTTTCCACATGCTGTCAGGTGCCGATCGACAGTTTTAATTGTTTGATTATTTGATTCGAGAAGATTTCCCTCCCTGTTAAGCAGCAGACAAAACTGCTGATAGCTCTGTTCACATGTGCGTTTAAATTTGAATGCATTTTGGGTATCAATAACGCAGGACAAGCAAATCTGTTTTGGCAATGGATCATCTGGATGTACCTCACAGTCGACGCATTCATTCAGCATCTCAGCTAGGCTGGGTTCCTCATCCGGCTGCTGTCGCTCAGCAAATATTTCCACAAGCGTGACACAGCTGATCATGCAAACTCGACAAACTTGTTCCATTTTTATTTACAATTTAAGAGATTAAAACTCTTTCCGGCCGACTGATAACATGCTTATAAACAATGTGTGGTATCGATGCATCGATGTACTTGTTGGATGCTGTCATGTAAACTGAACTAGTTTTCGCTGAACTAGTGTTTGCAACTATCGAACTTGTTGGACGATTAGAATCAAGCCCAAGTTATCGGTTTGCCGCCACAGTCAATCGTATAAAATGCAACCCTTTACACAGCTAGCAATTAGTAGAAAACTCCTTTAGATTTCTGCCGCTTTGTTGAGTTATTAATTAATGTTAAGCTAAAAAGTGTACAAAACAGAAATTAAGGTAAATAACATTGTCCGTCTGTCCATTTGGGTCGCCCCCTCTTAAATCTGTGTGCCTTCTTGCAGCAGGCAGCGTCCGCCGAGCAGCACACAGCAAAATGGAGTACAGCCACAGCCACGAAACTCGAAAATCAATAATAGAGAAAAACGAAATTAATAGTTTGTTGCGCTTTTTTCTTGCTTTAATTGTTGTTGCAGTTTAGAAATTATGTCAAAACGCAGTGCTGACGATGCCAGTGGCACCGGCAGCGGAAGCAGCTGTTTGGTGGCTGCGGCGGCCGCTGGTCAGCCGCCCATCAAGAAGGTGCACTTCGAGCCACATTTAATTGGGCCGGTGTCCACGTTGGAGGAGATGGATATCAAGGTGTTAGAGTTTCAGAACAAGAAACTTGCTCAGAGAATAGAGCAGCGAATGCGCTGTGAGGCAGAGCTGCGGCATCGCATTGAGCAGCTGGAGAAGCGTCAGACGCAGGATGATGCGGTTCTTAATGTAGTGAATAGGTATTGGAATCAGCTGAACGAGGACATACGGGTGCTTTTGCAGAGATTTGACGCCGAAACGGCCGATGAGCTGGAGAACAAGAACGAGAATGAGGTGACCACCTCGTTTCTTACACAGCTGTCCACCTGGGACAAGGAGGAGCTGGACGAGAAGCTGGCCAATCGTGTTCAGGTGTCAAAGCGCGCGGTGGCGAAGATCGTCCAGGTTATTGATAGGATAATGCAACGTAACGAGAAGATAACGCATGTATTGAAAGGTGATGGTCTGGCCGGTGCTGGGGCGCAGGGAACGACTGCTGGCGGCGACGAGGAGCAGCAGTCTACCTCCGGAGCGGAGTCAGATGCGGCATCAACGGGGGTGGGGGTGCACGCGCTGGAAGAGACGTTAAAGAAGACTCACATTGAGATTATGACGGAGAATCACAACCTGCAAAACCTGAACACGTCGCTGCACGAGAAATTCCACACAATGTCGCTGAAGATGAAGGAGTATCAGGATGCGCTCACCGCCAAAGAGACGGAAAATGCTGAACTCAAAAACCAAATCGATGAGCTGCAATATGACCTGGAGAAGATACATTGTCGGAACGATAAGCTGGAGAACCATCTGGCTGAGGCCATTGAGAAGCTGAAGGCATATCATCAGATCTACGGGGATCCCAACAAAAGCAGCAACAGTGCCAAGACGCCCAGCAGCGGTGTGGGCACCGGCGGGGGAGGTAGTGCAACGACCAATGTCAATAGTCAACACCTGGAGGAGCTGCAGAAGGAACTGGAGGAGCATCGTGAGCTGGCCAACAATCGGTTACAGGAGCTGGACAAGCTGCATGCCACACATCGCGAAACACTCAAGGAAGTGGAGAAACTTAAAATGGATGTAAGAAGTCTCAACCAGATGCACCCAGCCAACAACTAATCCTCTAATGCTTGCATTTTTTGTAGATCCGCCAGCTGCCCGAATCGGTCATAGTGGAGACGACAGAATACAAATGCTTGCAGTCGCAGTTCTCCGTGCTCTACAACGAGTCCATGCAGATCAAGACCATGCTGGACGAGACGCGCAATCAGCTACAGACTAGCAAGAATCAACACCTGCGCCAGATCGAGGTGATGGAGAGCGAGGAGCTCATTGCTCAGAAGAAGGTGCGTAGCGAGATGATCCAAATGGAGGACGTGCTGGCACTCATACGAAAAGAGTACGAGGCGTTACGCATTGAATTCGAGCAGAACATGGCCGCCAACGAGCAGACGGCGCCCATCAATCGGGAGATGCGGCATCTAATCACATCGCTACAGAACCACAACGGTCAGCTGAAGGGAGAGGTGCAGCGCTACAAACGCAAGTATAAGGACATCTCCACGGACAATGTGAAGCTGCGCAAGGAGCTGGACGAGGCGCAAGCCAAGCTCGAGGGCAACAAGCAGCAACAGCAATCGGCGGCCGCGGCGGCAGGTGAGGAAGTTAAACAGGAATCAGCAGCCAACGTCAAAGAGGAGAATGCTAACAACGCTTCAGCCGGCGGCGCGACGTCCATGACCACAGCCTCCAATGCGAGTGGCGACGTCAATATGGTCATCAAAGAGGAGAATTCCGCCTCTGCCGAGGATGAACTGGACGACGAAGCCAGCGGCAAAGATGTCAAGGATCCAAACATTAAGCAAGAAAAGCTGTCAGCTAGCGAAGCCGCAGCTGCTGAAAAAAAGGATTCACCCGGTCCGGCGAATACAACAGCGGCAGCAGCTGGCACAGCAAATGCCGTCAAAACTGAAAAGGATACTAAGGACGGCATAAAGGCGAAGGAACTAAAGGCCGTGGAGAGTGAAACCGTGCGGGATCTAAAAGCGCAACTCAAGTAGGTGCAAACTTTGGGTTGAAGATTGCCCATTATTACCATCTATTATTTACAGAAAAGCGCTGAACGATCAGAAGGAAATGAAGCTGCTACTGGACATGTACAAAGGAGTCTCGAAGGATCAGCGCGACAAGGTGCAGCTGATGGCCACCGAGAAAAAGCTGCGCTCAGAGATCGAAGAGCTGCGACAACAGCTGAAAAAGCTGCAGGAGAGCAAGCGAGAAGAGCGCAAGAAACTTGCCGATGAGGAGGCACTGCGGAAAATCAAGCAGCTGGAGGAGCAAAAATACGAGCTGCAAAAGCAGGTGGCCAATCACAAACCCACCGAGAATACCTGGGGCGCTGCGCCGGGAGTTGGACCCGGTGGCCCGAACTACACTCGTCCGTTTGTCGGCTCCCATGAGGAGGAGGCGTTGCTAAACGAGATGGAAGTGACTGGTCAGGCGTTCGAGGACATGCAAGAACAAAACTCAAGGCTTATCCAGCAGCTGCGCGAAAAAGACGATGCGAATTTCAAGCTGATGTCCGAGCGGATCAAGGCAAACCAACTGCACAAGCTGCTGCGCGAGGAGAAGACGGTGCTGGAAGATCAAATGACCACAGCGACGACTCAGATCGAAGCCATGCACATTGTGTTGCGAAAACTGGAAGAGAAGGAGCGCAGCCTGCAGGCCACCGTCGCGTCTATTGAAAAGGAGCTGATGCTGCGCCAACAGGCCATGGAGATGCATAAGCGGAAGGCCATCGAATCGGCGCAATCGGCAGCAGACCTCAAGCTGCATCTAGAAAAGTATCATGCCCAAATGAAGGAGGCACAACAGGTGGTCGCGGAAAAGACTAGCTCGCTGGAGGCGGAGGCCTACAAAACGAAGCGGTTGCAGGAGGAGCTGGCACAGTTCAAACGGAAGGCGGAGCGCATGAAGAAGATGGAAATGTCGGGCACAACCATCGACGAGGTGATGATCGAGGAAATACGCGAATACAAGGAGACACTCACGTGTCCCTCGTGCAAGGTGAAGCGCAAGGACGCCGTTCTCTCCAAATGCTTCCATGTCTTCTGTTACGACTGTCTGCGGACGCGATACGAGACGCGGCAACGGAAGTGTCCCAAATGCAACTGCGCCTTTGGCGCCAATGATTACCATAGGCTTTACCTGCAATAGGGTGCAGGACAGATTATCGATCATGAACACCGAGCGTCTACATACAAGCCAGCTAATCCATTACGAGCATATTATCTATGTACTATTAATATATATATATATATAATTGTTTTTAAGTGTCGCCCCTACGCGACTCCCCTTTGTATCCCTTGTATACCTTGCGGCAATTATTTGAATTTTTCATTGTGGCCCCAAGCATCTCATAAGTTATGAGTTCCGAGTGATATTCTCCCGGGTTTTTATGTAGCTTCTAGATTGAAACTAAATCGTACGAACATTAATAAATGGCTATCAATTATTTTCAATAGCGTTAATACAAAAATATTCAGCACAATTGTGTTCTTGACAAGTCGTAACCGGTCAGAATAGCTACTTGTACTTGTATATAAGCCGTTAAATTCTAAAACATTTCTGTTTATTGTATTGCCTTTCACATCGCGTTTAAATTTTCCTAAAATTTTTAGTTTTAATTAAGCTTATACGTATTGCGTGGGCTTCTTCCAATTTTAAACCCGATTTAAACACGTTTAAAAGCCTCGGCAAGGGATGAAGGAGGTACACAACTTGTTTTAAAACTAAAATGCAACTTAAATCTTGTCCAACAGTTACACTGAATCAACTAAGAAAATAAAAAAATGTAGTTAAATTATTAGTTAATTAATTAATTGAACTCATATTCAAATACTACAAACTGGCGCGAAATAATTAATATTTGAGCGCTTATGGGCAACACTAGTATTAAATTCAAAATATGCGGCAATTTAGCGTAAGCGATACAAGGGTCACACTGTTCACCGGCTAGCCGGCGTCTGTAGTTTAACATGCTGTAATTTAGACACTTAACATTATGTTAGCAGCAACAGCCAGTAGCAATACTGTAAACAGTTTCGTCGTTTTTGTTGGCCCGTGTGGGCGCGTTTCGGTATTGTCCTGTGCGTCGCGGCATTTTGTGTGAACGGGTTTTCGCTTTGAAGCCTTTGAATGTGGCCCAAAATAAAAGTGCAACGTTTTCAAATTAATCGATGTGCCGTCCAATTTAAATTGTATTCGTTGCTGTTGCTGCTGCCTGCCTGCAAGTCGCTTGTGGCTAAGACAACAAATTTTTGCTCAAGCCATCGATTTTTCGCGCTGTTTAAACGCGTCTCCCAGCGTGTGTGTGTGTGTGTGCGTTAGTGTATTAGTGTGTGCGAGGACCTTTTGAAATACATACATAATTATAAAACTCAGGCAACACACAGGCTGACAAAGGTCCTGACGCAGCAGCGCGCCATTGAAAAGTTCTGCCCAGCTGCTGCCTGTGCAGCTGCCAGGCTAAAACAACTACAACTACAACAACAACAATAGCAGCAACAATGCCCATTCACCTGGCCTTTTGAACATGCGTGCGTGTGTGTGTGTGTGTGCGTGTAATATTTGTGCATTCAATTTGCACAAAATTTAAGCGCTAATACATTTTCGCAAATCCAGAGATCAACCGTCCACAAACAACGCAATTTGCCATCCAATTTTTAGCGTGCCGACTGCGTTAGGGGAGCGCAATAATAGAACATAACAGACGTCCATTTGCTGCTCAACTCCAAAAAACAAACAAAGTCAACAAGCGCGTGCGACAGAGACAGCGAATTATGCCTTGGGGGAGCCGCTGACATTTTCATCAGCGCCAGCAACAACTGCAGGAACCACCAACACGACAACAACAACGACAGCAACAACTACAACAACAACATTGACTGAGTGTCGTCGTCGTCGCTGGCACAGTTTTTCCTGCTGCTCTCTGTGGGTGAGTAACAATATTTTTGTTGTTTTCGGTGTTACGGGTAGAAAGTAGTTATCGAATATGATGGAGGCTAAAAAATTGCGAATGGGACTGGGCATGGAACTGGAACTGGGATTGGGCATGGAACGGGAACTGGTACTGGAACCAGTGGGTGGGCGTTCGGTTGTTTGCTTTTGCGGACAGACCGCTCCTAATGGCTTTCGTTGGGTTTGGCTTGGCTGGTTGAAAGGTCGACGCGGCAGCTCCAGCTCCAGCTCCAGCTGGCACTTCATTTATGCAGCGTCAAAACTCATTTCGTGTGTTGCATGACTTCAGCGATAATCGATTTGCAAGCGAATAGCAAACGGCAGCAATCAGGAAGAGTGCAATTTCAGTCAATCAATCAGTCAAACCGCCCGTCAATCAGTCAGTCAGTCAGTCAAACGTTCGCTCCGGTTATTGGACACATTTTTTTTTATACTATATTCATAAGCTAATGATCGGGCTAATGATGAGGAACGGATGCTCGAACCGTTTTAATTACGCATCCGCGACAGTTTGCGGCGCCTGTTGGGCGGTGGGCGGCGGGCGGGGGGTCAGCTGCCGGCCGGCCGGGGTGTGGCTGAGAGAGTTGCAGAAACTTCAGGAAAATACTAATTAAGCTTCATTAATCCGTTTGTCGTTTGGAATTGATAGAGAAAATCTCAAGTGGTTGTTAGTCAATTTATTAAGTGTTCAAAATGAAAATGAAAAGAAATTAAAGATTAGAGAGTTGCTTGTGGCCGCATTTACAGTTACGACTGGGGATGTACACAAAAATTATAATCATAAATTTCAAGTGTAGTTGATTAAGCTTGGAATTGTGGAACAAACACATTATTTGTTTACCCTTGTAGAGGGTATTATAATGTTGTCATAAAATATGTAACGCATAGAAAGACACATCTATTCCTAGATCAGCATCAGCCATGCCCATCTGTCTGTCCGTCCGTCCGTGTGTTTTATTGCGAACTAGTCTCTCAGTTTTAAAGATATCAGAACACTATATATCATATAGCTGCCAGAGGTACAATAGATTGAAGATTAAGTTCTAGTATGAACAACTTTTTTGTTTCCTAAGATATCTCGACCAAATTCCCTATATATTCACAAAAAAACTTAATCAAAATCGGATCACTATATCGTATAGGAACTAACGTTCGTTTCCAAGATATTCTCATCAAACTCAGCATGAACAAGATTCACTTTTCTCACGTTTCTCCAAAAGCGTAAGGCAAATATCTACAATGGTGTTAAATCTTGGGTATGCCGAAGAGATGAATACAATTCCTGCTTTCCAATAATCTTGAAGTACAGATTTACTACTTATTTATATAGCAAAACTTACTTAATTGTAACTACCTAGTTACCTTAATGTTGAAATTGTACTATTAATCGAGAAAGAGTTATTCATTTCTTCTCTAACATAGCTAGAAAACCTTTTTTTATTATAGTACGAATTATAATACAAATATTAGTAAACAAGCTTAAGAGCTAATTGCTACCGAACATAAAACCTTTCTAAAATTCACAAAAGTATAATAAATACCAATGAAAAACGAGCGAAAGGAAAGTTTCTATTAACACAATATGAGTAGAATAGTATAACATATTCCCATCAAATCCCTTTTATTATAGTTAATAGATTACAAAGTTCGGATCAGTTGACACTTATTACTAAACAAAATATAATTTGGTATATAAATGTGCTTAGGTATTTCTAAGATTTAAAAGTTCTTAACTCTTTTAAATATATACATTGTGAGATCGTAAGATCGTGAAGCAGCTAAAAGAGTGGGTAACGGCTTAAAAGAGGTCAAAAGTGGTATACATGATAATGATGCCATGATATCATGACTTGCGTGGGATTAGTCGATTTTTCTGATTTATGGCAAAATACTTTTAGCTCGATCTATCAAAGCTGTCGTCAGTTATCTATCTGCCAAATTTGGTGACTAGCTGTACAACTGTGGGAAATATTTATTTCCCAAAAAAAAAACAGAAACTTTTGGCAGTGCAAATAATATGGCAATAGTCTTCACTGTACTTTGAGGCACAATTTTGCTCTGACACATTTTCATTTTCTAAATAATTAAATCTTATCAGAGCGCTGCGAAAATTTGACTTGTTTTTATTTTTGGCCAATATCTGGTTGCATTCTAATGTGTGGCCCGTCGCCTTATCGGAGCCGATAACGAGTCTTATAAATACGGGTATATATGTGTATATATATATGCATGAACGATTACCCTCGATTCTTGTGTATGTACACATGCTTAGTTGAATTGTATTCCCCTATTCCTCCCCCCTGCAACCCTTGTCAAGCAAATTGATTTTGATAAAACCTGCCATTGGAACTTGTTTTTTCGAGAGTGTGCGAATTTTTAACAACTGCCCGATTTCGCACCCTTGCCCTGCCACCGCCTCCCCCCTCACGAACAGGCTTGCAATCAAATCAAGACCATTAACAAAAGCGAAAAACTTGTCAACTTTTTGTTTTGTTTATACCGAATATTTATGATATTTACATAAATTAACGCTGTATATTGGCTTTGGCTTTGGATTGCGTCGATTGGCAATTTCAAGGTCAACAGCGGAACCCAACAACCCGCTTAACTGGAGCAGTTGCAGATGCACAGGCCAGAGGCCAGACCCAGACCCCGACCCTGAGAGCTAAACAGAAGATTGATATATTATATCATTTAGCTTATCTTTTGTTGAGGCTCAGTTTACGTCGCACAAAAGGATTTGTGGCATTGCATTTCAAGATGGTCGCTGGGCGTAGGCTCTCGGCCGAGACAAGACGGCGTCTGGCGCTCCCCTCCCTCCAGTGGTCAGGGGGAGTGGGGGGGGGGGGGGGCAAGTTTTAACTGTGCTTGTGGCCTCTAAAAATGGTTTTCTATTTTCGCTTTGCTGCTGTTTTATGAAGACTTCCAAGTCTGGTCAATGGTCAGCTGTAGACGTGGCTATAACACACGCCCCCCCTCCTCACTCCACCCCACCCCACGTACCCCAATGTTCCCCTTTGGCGGAGTGTCATGTGGCGCATGCCGCTAAAAAATAAACGAGGAACCCCTCCAAGCGTGAAGTGGGCTTCCCATAGTCGTTGTTTTTGCAGTTGTTGCTGTGATTATATAGTTAGTTATATGTGAGCATGGGTATGAAAAGTAACTGAGTGCAAGCATCGTTATATATCGCAGTGTGTGTCATAAAGAGTTTTATATTTCTTGCCTCGCATTAAATGAAAAATGAAGCGGACCAAAGACTTTCTCTGCCATATGACAAACAATTTCGGCTGTTGCCGTAATTGCGCCAGCAATGAGCTGTTAATGAAACCAAATAGACAGACAGTCAGACCGACAGACAGATAGACTCGTGGCAAGTTAGAAAGAGGGAAGCACTAGTCATCATGCCAATATGATCCGTGGGCCAGGCCAATGAACGATCCGGCCTGAGCAGCTTAAGAAAACTGAGGCAAGCAGAACTTTGTATTTTTGCGGACTTCTTTTCATTTCTGTTGCCTATTTTGGTCTAAAAACAACAACAGCTAAATAAACAGTACACTGTGCAACCAGTTTTTGGGTACCAGAAATTGTACAAAATCAAATTGTACAGAATGTCAAAACATTTTTCCTGATAGCTAGACATAAAAATACAAAATAGGGGATTCTATGGATATAGGATTCTATTTTACTAAATATTAGATAAGATATTAAATACTTAATATTAAGATTCCTCAATGTTAAGTTGACTAGTAATAAAAAAAACCAAACCCCTTAGGACTTCGTTTCTGATCGAATATATATAAATTCTTTCAAATTGTACAGAATCTCAATAAATTTGTCTAGATCGCTAGACATTAAAAGACAAAATAGGGGATTCTAGGGATATGAGATTATTTTTAACTGCAAAATAGTTGACATTTCTATAAAAGGGGAACAATTTTAAGATTCCTCAATGAACCCTCATATTGAAAGAATTTCGAAGAAGTCAAGGGTTTTAAGTATAGGACTTAATTTCTGATGAGGTATATCTCTTCTTTCTTTTAAATTGACTCAAATTTCATATAAAAAGCTTCTTTTAATTGGGCATATTTATTAAACAGGTTGTAAAGTCTCCACTTGTCTATATTTGGTTTACAATAATATCTTAAAAACTTAATTAGTATATAGTTTACAAAGCGTTTACAATTTTGTTTGTGTATATTATTTACATGTCGCGTAGTATATTTCATAAACCAGAAAAACATGTGCGCTTGCACTTAGTTTAATTTTTTTTTTGTCGAATAAACAGAGCGTGATCTATAATTTCGTTGAGCTATAATAAATATATTAATTGTTAGACTTTATAGAAAAAGGCTAACTTATTTGTCTTTTTGCTGTGTTGCATGTTGCATGGTGTAATCTGTGGCACAGTTCATGATTCTATGATTCGGGATACGACTTCAGCGCGGCTCTTTTTGCCTTTTTGCCTCGTGTTTCGCGTGGCTCGGTTTCTCAATCTTCGACTTTCAACAGATGCAAAACGAAACTTTTGCGTGCCGTTGCCGTTGACTGAGAAGCCGCCGAAAAATTGTTTATAGTTTATGGCACTGGGCAATAACAACAGCAACAATAACAGCAGCAACAACAACAGCAGCAACAATAACAACAGCAACAACAACAACAACAGCAGCAACTTTAACTTCAAAAAGCGCAGCGATTCAGTTGGTCGCTTCTTCCTGCTTGCTTTGTTGTTGTTTAGTTCAGTTGTTGTTGTTGTTGTTGTTGTTGCTGTATTGCCCAATACCCAGAGCCAAACCCGCGTTCGTGACAGCCCAGCTGGCCATGCCAGCTGCCCCGCCCGCCCCCCTTGCCACACGCCTCTGTCCCGTTAGCGTCGTCTGCGTTCTCTTTGATTCATTAAACACGCGGCCGCGTTGCGTCCCGCTCCGCCCACTCCCTGCCCCCCCAGCTCCAGGCGCTGCGCACAGCATAACCAAAACA